AATACGATACAAACTTCATATTTATTTTTAAAAGTTCTTTTTAACATATTTTATTTGAATTTTTTCTTATATACATAAAAGGTGTCACTCTGAAAAGCATAACACCCGAAATCTCAAAGTTCTTTAGAAAATATGTATACGAACACATATAGGAGACCAAACTAATACCTATTCACACAAATTAAATTTATTTCTAAGAAAATCGTGACTAATGCATCAAGGAATTAACTCAAACCAACACATTTCTAGAAGATATCGTCCTTTAGTCTTCTAAAACCACGTAAAATCCTTCTTCTATAAAACCAACTATTGAGAGCCCTAAAAGGTTTCTTCAACGCATTGTTCTCCTCAAGCTCCATTAATGATAACTTGGCTATTTCTCTACCCATTTTCAAACAGAAATCTATCTAACACATTTCTATTTTTCTTATGAAAAATATCTTTTTAACAATTTTTTTTAACAACTTTTTTATAATCGCTTATGTCATAACTCGTGATTAATCCATTTTAAATATACGAATATTGACACATAATTTATTGTCAAAAAATTGTTTAAAAAAATTGTTAACACGTCGTAATCCTTTTCTTATATCAATAAATTATATCCAAATTAGGATAGGTCCATGAATAAATTAAAGTTAAACTTCTCAATATTTTTATTCATATTTCGCGCTGATTCTCTTCTAATTTCATTTATTTTCTTCACTGCATTGAAAACACATCTGCAGTACAGAATATTATAAACCTAAATTTGGAAATTTTTGGTGGCATGATGTTCGACCAGGCTTTACAAACGTGGAATCTTAGCCAGCGGAATATAAAATTAAATAACAACTCCTAGTTCTCTCCGGAATGTAGAACTCCATGTCAAATAGTTATACTAAATTAATTTACCCGCATATAAATAGGTTAAAATGTAAATGGAAAAAGGCATTCGGTAACAGTACACATAATGATATGTGTATGGTTTAGTTTAGTTTAATTATTAAAAAAAGAAGTAATTTTTTTTGTACATTTTTCTGAGAAAGTAAAAGTTTATAGAAATGATAAAATTTTAGAAAGAAATGAATGGGTTGAAATATAAATAAAGATAAAAAGGGTGTGAGAAGAATGATGGTGAGGAAAAGTTTATTGATAAGGAAGAGTGTATGGGATAAGGCAGAGAATGTTGGAGTAAGATGGGAGGTGGAGATGGTCATATAGAAAGGGATTGAGAGCTTTTTCCAATTTTTATAGAACGCTTTTTGAGGAGTTGCCCATCCCCAGATGAACGTGGGGAACCGAAACAATAATGTGTCTATATCAACAATCATTATCTATGACCCCCCCACTCTTTACCTCTGCTGTGCCTTCCACTTGTTTCTCCCATTACTTTCGGGCTAATATTCTCGAAACAAATTAATAGTTTCATGATATGATTCATTAATTTCATGTCTTGACACAAAAAAACTTAACATATATTAATGGAGGTTGAGTTGCAGAAAGCGCGTAGCCATGGTGGCATGGTGGCATGGTGGGGACAGGATGACACTTGGATAACGTTTGAGACTTTTGCTTCACTTCTTTGCTAGTTTCAACTTACAGACAAACCATTGTGCACTGTAAACTCTCTTACTTTAGCTTTTATCATACCCTTTTATTTCTTTTCTTTCCTTTTCCCCTCCCACTTTAGCCGGAGGTCTGCTATGGCTTAACGTACCGGCATGCACAACTATCAAACACTTTGCAACCCTATGCTCTATTTCCACACCCCTAAATGTTATAATCATATTACTAACTTAACGACTAATTCCAAGAAAAATAAGTTCATTTCTATTTATGGGATTATGCATGGAATTTTTCGAAATCTAGTTTAGGTAAAATAAATCAAATTTAAATTTATTTTAATTACATTAAATTAATTAGAATTTTTTCAATTTAATTTAAAATTGGATTAAATTTAAATTAATTTCACTTTATTAGTTAGATTAAATATGATGTAGGATTGACTAAATATGATTCTTCTCCAAAAATAATATTACTTCTATCTTACTAGATTGATCAAGTCACAACAACCAAACAAATAAATTTTATTGTCATTGTATATATAAGTCCTTTAATACCCCACCAAAATAGTATAGTTTCCAAAAAAACATGAGAACTCACAAGAGAACATGCAATGATCAACACTCTCCTCATGTGTTTTACGTAAATGTTAACTCTATAAGATCTAGTGCAATATTTATCTTCTTCAAATTGTCTTTGGTTGGAAACCTAATACGAATCACCCCCAAGCAAGAAAAAAAAATACATTTAATGGTATCTTAATACTCCAAAGCATGCTGAAGAACATCTTTGTTTAAACCTTGTTGATATTGATAAATAATGAGTAAACATCACATTATTTCTTGTTTTGTAACTCTTTCCTTTTGAATGATAATTAATATTTCCTACATGAATTGGTTAACTAATTTTTTCTCCCACACAAAAATAATCTCTTGTTGATTGAAAAATCCACTATCATACCCTTAGTCTCTCATGTCTCTAACCGAAAAACATTAATGTAGTTATTATTATACAATATATTATGTTTAGCTTTAAGTGATTATTCTCTCACCAATATGTCTTCCCAAAATCTCACTACATGGTTGTCTTTTACAAGTCTGACCAAAGTTCCCTCCTACCTATATTCCTTTTTAGAACCCACCCAATTACTCGATATAACTCCCAAAAAAACATTGCTATGTAAAACAAATAAAAGAAAAGAATTTATTATAATAATAATAATAATATCAATGATGATGATGATGATAATAATAATAATCTTAACATAATTTACATTAATTAAAATTTATTTTAACAAATTACTTTTATGAGGGTAAAATAGTAATAGTGTAATTTTATCCATTAAAATTATATTTTATTCTATCAAATCTATTACGTCACTAATAACCTTTATAAATTTTTGATCTAAATTCCTTTATTTCACACCATCTTTCTCTTAATCTAAATAACCTAATTTTTACCTTTATTCCAAATCCATCTTAAGAAAACAAACACAGCCTTAGGATGTGACATGAACTCCTCCTAAATAATACTTCTCTTTCCTCAATCTCTTTAATCTTATATTTATTTTCCACATGTTGCATCTAATATTTTATAATATATATATATATATATATATATATATATATATATATATATATATATAATTTAACAATATATAATATCTAATTATGTTTTATTTTAATAACACAATTATTTGATTTTAAGCATATCCGAATCAAAAGTAATATCTTCGTTAAAAGAAAAACACGTTTTTCTAATTAAAAAATTTGCAAACATATTATCATCTATAGGTAAAATGAAATGCAAAAAACACTTTTCTTTTATGAAATCATTCTGTACTTTAGTATTTTCACATACTTGAAACAAAAGAGTTAAAATCCAATACATACTGTTTTATATTTGATCTATTGAGATTAAGTACATAGAAAAAAGTTTACACAAGTTCCACTTAACCGAAATAATTAAGAACATTCCAAATGCGCCTACCCATATAACGGATTGGTAGCCACTAGCAATGATCTGGAAGCCAACGAAGCCATTGGTGGAGCCGAGTTCGGCTTAGCTTAGCAGACCCCACCATTGAATTCATAAATAAGAATGTGATTTTTTATGTTATCTTTATACCACAAGCTGTATTTGGAGAGGTGTCGCTGTCGTATTGCCTACGGTCGGTTGGTGGGCCCCTCTCTCTCTCGAGGAAGCTTTAACAACAGATTTTATTTCTTTAATAATATAATGTAGAAAGGGAAAAACATATACACACTGCGTCACAATTTTAAAACAAACAAATATTGCGGACCAACCAACCAGGGCTCGCGTGCTGTTTATGCAACTGAAAAAGAATTATTATTATTTTCCAAACCTTAAAATGATGCACCACTTCTCTGTTACTAATTTATTTGCACTTTTTCAATACCACCAGCAGCAACTGCACCACTGCTTCGTTCACCTCATTTTCACACAGCAGCAGCAGGGGCTAGCAAGATGTGGACCAACTAACTTTACGCAACACTTAGATTTCTTAAAACCCTACACATATTTTAATCAGCAGATATAATTAACAAAATCAATGGATGTAAACACATTTTATATAAGAACGATACTTTCGGGATGAATTTTGAAAATTGTAAGACCTCATTAAACAACCTCTCTGCGAAATTGCCAATACATGTGTTATATAATTTGTTGAATTAAAGTTGAACACACCAACCATAGAAAGACTATTAAGTTTTTTTTTTTCAACTTATATATTTCGGACATATTAACTTTAATTTATCCCAATGAGCGAACTGGAAGTTTAGTTCACCTTTTGAAATCAATCCATCAATCCTTAGCTCTTACTATTCATGATCGAGTTGTTGTTTCTAATAAACGAGTATATAAATGCAACGAGTCAATTCTTTTGGGAGAAAGCATCGTAACACAAGTTCAAGAGGCAAGAAATCAACGATACTGTATTACTTATTACTAAATACTCTAAACATTTTTCTAAATCTGATTGTGCACCATGCAGTGGGTTGGATTATTTGAAACATCCTCAACAGCAAAGATTAACAAAAGAATGGTTAAAGATCTAGAATAAATTTTCTGATGTCTCTAGAGTGAATTTGAATACTCTTAATGCCACTTTTCATTTGTCTCAGACAATCTTAGAAAGAAGTTGTTAATGTTCAAAGTGTAGTGAAGTAACTACAATTGTTTGCGATTTGGATCATCTCGCTAGGTCGTCTTTTGTCGGCTCTTTTAAATTTAACAGTTAGAAATTAGTTAAGTAATTACAACAGTTTTAAAGTAAATCTGTTTGTAGTTTGATTCTGTATTTTAATTCTTCAAGTTGTGTTGTATGGGAAATGTCATCATGTTACTGAAATGTCTTGTAATTTTGTAAAAAAAATGGGGACAAAGGGATTGTGTAACTTTTGGAGGGAGGGAGGATGTTATAGTTGCAACCATTAAGGGTCACCACTTAAGCAAAGCAAAGCAAAATAAAAACCTTATAATCGATTGTCCATCATTATCATAATTTCTATTCATTATATATTTGAACATTTATGCATCTTAAAGAACCCCATTCCATTCGTCCTCAAGATTTGATCTTTGTTGTGTTTTCTCTTCTGCGGTCCCGGCCACCTCAAACGTTAACACCACATCATTCTTTTTACGTCTCTATCAGTTGCTGGTGGGTGGACTTCGACTTAGAGGTTGACATCTCTTTCTCTTTCTCTTTCTCTCTCATTCTCAAGCCGTTTTAGCGCCACCCTTTTATCTCTCAGCTTACAGCAATCTACCTCCAAAACGAATAAGAAGAGAGAGAGAGAGAGGGATTCATGAATGCTTTATTAGGGTTCTCATATTTGCTTCCTTTCATCCACTACTGCTCCTGAAACCTCTTTCCTTCTCTTTTCTCTCTTCTCATTCTCAATAATCCTCGGGATCTGATCTCTTTCTCATCTTCCGGGTAGAAACTAGATGCAGCCGGTGAAAGCAAAGCAGTGTTGAGAACAAAGAAGAAGAAGATTGAGTTCAATTCCCGAGGAAAACAATTAACTTTCTACTTTGCTTTTCCTGTTTGTTTTGTCCGCTTGTGTCTCCCTGCCTTTCTTTCAGTGCTGTTTTTTTTTGTCTGGTTCTGTTGGATTTCCTTTGACCAAGTTACGACAAAAAGGTTGTTGATGAAAGAGAACTTGAACAACTTTCTCATCAACCCTAGATACCTCAAGATTTAGTGCTACGAACCAGTTTTTCGTTTCGTCAGATCCGTTCCAGAACTGTACTTGGAGTCTATACATAGTCATATCCTCAGAGGGAGCAATATATAAAGGTTATTCTTTGTCCTTAATTTTTCTAATACCCTCTTTATGTAGTGTTTTATACATTCTACACATCGATCTGTTATATCATATGATGTTTGGCTTCTTGCTTTCTAGTTCACGCTCTTTACTATACATTTATCATGCGAATGTTTCTAAATAATTAGCAGCGTTGAAATGGTGGATCAATTGATATATTCTATTTTTTTAACCTTTAACAAACAAGTGAGACAAGAAAAGACAGACAAAGGAGAAGGCCGAGTCAAATGGTAATAAAAGTCATAAAATCTTTGACGAGACTGCGATCTGTGTTCGGTTGGTGATTGTATCTCATCGACACCAACCTCCACATCACGGTTTCAACCCCTCACGCCGGTCTTCTTTTTGGCTTTACACCTAACCATACAAGTCTATTTGCATATATATCCAAGTGTAACCTGAACAAAGCACTGTTTCTGGTAATTGATGATGTTTTCTTTTTTCTTTAACTCTAATCGCTTGAACGAGAAACTTCTAAGTCGTGCTATGACGCCATTATGAAAATGTGACTACCTTTGAGTGCTCTATCAACCTCTCCGTAGGCTGAAAAGCTGAAAGTTTGGTGCTACAGCATACAACATCATTCACTACTTCATACCACCCCATAATTGCTTTGTAAAAAGTGTGTCCTCTCTGCCGTGTGCACCTTCTTAATTTAGTTTCTCTTCTTTAGGGAAAATGAGTCAACGTTTCACAAGGTAAAGTTCTTGAATATCTCCTATGGCTTCTTCTTGAAGCGATTACTCAGGCCATCAATAGTTTTTTTTTTTCTTTTCACTTTTGTTATCATCTCTTTTATTCATTTTTATAACTTCAATTTGATGTGTGCGGGGGTGTAGGAATATCCTCTTCATATTTAGTATTTTTTTTCTTTTTCATTTCATTCTTCTTTTATTTCTTCTGCTTTCCGAGTCCATTCCTTGGATCTAATTAATCAAAAGCATATTATTCGGCGTTGAAAATATGAACATGGAAAAGGTGAGAAATTTTATGTATAGTTCAAAAAAATTTATGGCGTAAAGTTGTTTAGTTTTGGAGCAGATTTGTTTGACGAAGACTGGGATGCTTAGAAGTGGTTTCTTATTGTCCATGTATGAATGAAGAATGTTAATCCGATGCTTTTTTCAATCCCTAATGCTGGATAATCATACATGATTTACTGCAAAAATTCCAAGTTTTACAGTATGTACGACTTGGCGCTGCCATTAGGAATTTTGTTGATTCAATACATGTATTAGTCTATCGCCTTTTTTATAGCATGAAGTCTATGATTTTGTCAAATAAAGATATATTACACATTGCACAGAAATTCAGTGGAAGAAGAATTAACATGTGCTTTTCCAGTACAATTTCACAGCTAATTCATACTGACTTTGTATTACTCGTTTTCTTTTCCTCTTTCTTTGAGAGCTTCAAAGGACGTGTTTTATAACTAGCCAGTTTTTCTATCTTGCTTGTTAATATACTGACTTATCGGTAACTCAATCTTGTTGCTTTATATAAAACGTTCATTAGATAGATATAGAAACAAAGCAACTGTTTTACGTAGTGTCTAAGGCATTTGCTTTGCTTTTCCACTTTTGTTTGTACTCTTTAACATCGTTAATCCTTTATTATTATCATTATTATTATTTAGACTCATTAAACTATCTTGAACCTTTTTTTTACTTCGATTATTACAAAGCATGTCTGATGTTTTGTCGGGAGGATAAGAGTTTGGATCATTTTATGTTCTTATTCTTGACCATGTCTCTCTACCAAACGATCAATGTATCGTGTGTGTGTGTGTATATATATATATATATGTATGTATTGCTACCTGCATAGCATTGATGCTTATTATCATTTCTGTAGTGGTCAACTTGAACGTGAAATTATAAGTAGTAGCAATAGTATTCATTGTATGACGAGAAAATATGTTAAACCTCATGTTTATTAACGAAAGAGTTATTAATTTTGTTTTTTTAATTTTTCTCAAATACAGGTTATAATTTTTTGAGAGCCGAAATGAACACATTTTCGCATGTACCTCCAGGCTTTCGGTTTCATCCGACCGATGAAGAACTGGTAGGTTACTACCTTAGGAAGAAGGTAGCGTCTAAAAGGATTGATCTAGATGTGATCAAAGATGTAGATCTCTATAAGATTGAACCATGGGATCTCCAAGGTACGTAATTCTTACAAAGTTATAATTAAGCAAGGCATTGCGTGGAAATAATACGTAGATGCATGGATAGAAGAAGATGCAATACGTTATATAGTGTGGAAGATAATGATATTTGGTTGTGTGATGTAAACAGAGTTATGCAAAATAGGAACAGATGAACAAAGTGACTGGTATTTCTTCAGTCATAAAGATAAGAAATACCCAACTGGAACTCGCACGAATAGAGCTACAAAAGCAGGATTTTGGAAAGCGACGGGAAGAGACAAGGCAATATACTCTAAGCATTGCCTGATTGGCATGAGAAAGACTCTTGTGTTTTACAAAGGAAGAGCCCCAAATGGACAGAAGTCTGATTGGATCATGCATGAGTACAGGCTAGAAACTAATGAAAATGGAACTCCTCCGGTAATTTCCATTCAAATTCAAACACATTTTTTTGTTTACATTTTTCAGGTTTGCTTTCTACTGATTTATAATCTTTACTCATTCGTGTTTTACTCAATAACTTTTATTCATTAGCTTATTGCTTCTTATAATTTTCATCTAATAATATATCACAGTTTTTATTTAAATAATAAACTATCCCTCCAAAATTCAAATATATAAGTATTGCTGGAATAAAATATCAGGATTTTTTTTTCCTTTTTGTTGTTTTTCTACTTATTCACTACATGCTGTCAAGTCCATATTGTTTCATCAATTACTGTTCGGAATAGATATTATTTCATAGTGATTTCAAGTATTCTATAAATTGTCTAATAAGTAAGACAAAATTATTCTGCATGGCTGAAATCATGCAAAACCCGTTATATATATAGAACCATGTTAAATATATTTTTAATTCTTATAAATATAAAAAAAGAAAAACTATTTTTAATTCTTATAAATTTTAAAAAAATATTTTTAATTAATTAATTTTTTTAATGATTTAAATTGTCATAAATTTCAAAGATTTAAAAACTACTCTTATAGCTATACTGTTTATTATTTTTATGCATGCAAATATGTTAAAGATTACTTTAAGTAGTAGGATGTAATGTTAAACAATATAAGTTCTAAATGCATACGTGATCAGTCATGATAAGCTTTATTGCTAGAAGGTCTAGTATAATAGTTGGACTTAACAAAACAGATTCAAAATCAAATTTATATATATTTTATAAAAATCGAAAGTGTTTTTCACCCCTTAACATTTTTGTATGATTTAAAAACACTTTAAATGTATGTCCTCCTCTTATATACAATTATGAAGCCTATTAATTACGTTAATAAAACACTTTAAATCTCACAAATTTTAAAAATTAATTAGGTACATGTGGATTTTTGTTAACTGGAAAATTGCGTTAAATTGACTTCAACTGGATTATGTGAACCTTTTGTTTATAAACAAATAAATATAATAATATAGAGTATTAAGAATTTCAATGTACACTAATTTGAGAATAAATGCAGTTCCTTCTTAGATGAAAACTAGAACCAAACCTCACCTTTGGTTGAATCATAAAACCGTTCCAGCAAGCCTATTTGCTTCCTTCCCCCATTATCTAGCGTTAGCCTAAATACATATAGAATGCTCATTAAATTCAGCTTAACAGTGGGATTTTGAATAGTTCACATAAGATTTTGGATTATTCAAAACTACGTTGTCTCTATTTAAAATAAAATAAAAAACATAAATCCAAACAGAATAAAAATTCTACCGAAAAGATTCAGCTGACATAGAGTAATGCTAAAGTTAAAATGTTTCCTTACCACTCATTGATGGAAAAGGCCAGTAATTGCTTTGTTGGGTGTTTCATACCCAATATCAATGTTCTATAATATATGAATAGTGTTAAAACAACAGTTTCACACTCAAGGAAATAATCTCTTACAACACTAACGTAATGTTTCTAGTTCTTGGTGAGGTAAACAATATTCTGCTGAAAGTTACATGCATATAACATCCTCTTCTGTGAAATTGCCTCAGACAAAATCATATATTCTGCTTAAATTTGCACGCATTTTCAACTTCACACATAATATTCATCTTAAGTTGCTACAAAATAATAGTATATTATTACCAACAACTGAGAGCTCCAATTTAGTTAAACCAATATGTTGTTCATCTTTTAGACATTCTGTAGTTACCTAAGTAAGTATATTTTAAATTGGTTAGGGTTTAATAGTTTTAAACTGTTCAGGAAGAAGGATGGGTTGTGTGTAGAGTGTTCAAGAAGCGAATGACTACAATGCAGAAAGTGGGAGAATATGATCAGTCACCCTGTTGGTACGATGAGCAAGTTTCCTTCATGCAAGATTTTGAATCCCCAAGGCGCATTTCCCAGCCTTATGCATCATACCATCAGCACCACCCATGCAAACCTGAGCTCATGGAATTGCAATACAACAACATACCCCACGATGCATTCCTCCAACTTCCGCAACTTGAAAGCCCCAAACTAACTCACTCAGCACCCAGTTTGAGTTGCAGCTCAGTTGTCCCTTTTGCTTATGAAACCAGCAACAACAAAAACAACGGAAGCACCTTGCAGTTCTCATCACTCTCTCAGGAAGAACAGATACAATACTGCCACCAACAAAGTCAAAATTCCCTCTATGATAATGCGGTTGACCAAGTCACAGATTGGCGAGTGCTTGACAAATTTGTTGCTTCTCAGCTTAGTCACAACCAAGATGTTTCCAAGGAGACCAGTTATTCCAATGCACCTATTTTCCAAGTGGCTGAACAAATTTCTGTGGTAACCAATGGATCCAAAAAGGAGCAAATTTCTCAGGAATATGCTTCAACATCTACCTCCAGTTGCCAGATTGACCTGTGGAAGTGAAAGTTTATAAATATATATTATATATAGTAACTGAAAGATATATGATGCATAATACTAATTATAGGAAGTGCGTACAAGTAAATGTTGAAAAAAAAAAAAGACAACAGTGTTTCTCCCGGTTGTTGTACATAATAAACCCAGATGTTTTATATATATATATACCATTAGTTGTTGAACCTCTGGAAGCTAGAGTATGGGCTGAAATGCATCCATTTATTAGATGCAATTCATCTCTCCTATATATAGTGCTTCAAGGTCAACTCTACTCTCTACTGCAGAAAGTGATCCATGGTGGGAAGATTTCTGCGCATTAATGATAAAAGTTATTTGTTTACTGCAGCTTAATTTTGCATTTACTGATATGTATTCAGTTTGTATTTGAAATAGGCAATTACTTGGATCTATCAGAATCCAGAAGTGTGAGAATGAAGGTATGAAGATTTGAGAATATAAACCATATATGTGCTTCTTACATATACACACACACGTTCTCCACTGTGCTAGTTTAGAATTTACTGTTATATCTCTTTTCTGCAAGCGTACAATTTCTGTATGGCATAATAGATGTGAAACTTTAAACACTAAGTTAAAGAGATTAATCACTGACATTCACTGAAAACCATAATCTATATTCGCGTTGTTGGGATATAAATAAAGTCTTACATCCATTAAAAAAAGACACAGATACGTGTTTATATATACATAAATATCTTATTGGTGAAAGACTTTTGAAGTGGTATTAAGCTTTTGGTCCACGACAATATCTTATGAAGTGTGAAGAACTATACCTGTGTCGAACATGTTGGGAAATGCTAAACGACTCAATCAATCCAAGAAAAGTAAACAAATGAATTTTATTGGTTATTTTTTTGTATATTTTTCTTGTTTCTAAAGATGCATTTTTTTTTTTTGTTTTCTTAGAGTTAACATATATTCTGTCATATCTGCACTTTATAGGAAATGCTTCGTAAAATAACTCGGAAACGAGTTAAATAGCCTGCGAACTCGTATTGGATTGCGTTAGGCTGTAAAAGGTATACCATTATTATTATACACTTCTATATACGATCTAATAACTTTCCTTTTCCTCTTGTGCCTGCGTTTGACCCTATATATGTTTTTGAGGGATTCATTTCAATATTTTTGTTATATTTTGATAAATAATAAGAAAAAAAAAAGGAAGAAAATGACAAACATAATATAACAATTCGGAATCATTTATAGTTTGATAGATCTATTGAGGGGATTCGTACAGGAGATTTAATTATAATGAGTCCCTCTAAATCAATATAACAAACTTTACATTATCTCCTGAATTTGGCTCATATGCACGTCTATTTGTTAAATTTATCTTTTGAAAAATTTATTAGTAATATGACCATTCATGCTCCATTTTAGATAAATACAGTATGATTTTTATATTCAAATACGACTCTAAGTTTTATATTAAATAAAAATAAGAAAGGTGAAAAAAATATTAATTCATTACTCTATTTAATTTGAATTATTGAATTTAATTCTTGTTAGTATTAGCTATAAGTATATTTTAAAGCATCCTACACAAGTTTTCTAACACATAATAAAAAGAACTATAAAAATTATGTTATCAAATTACATCTTAAATATATTTTAAGATAATCATAATTGCAATTGGTTAAATATAACTGCAATTATCATTATATACTGAAAACATATATATTTACTGTTATTCTAACAAACTTCTCTCTTTTCAAATCAATTAAATTAAAAGTATACATTTACTGAAAATTTAGAAAATGATAAATAAAGATAAACATATTTTTATTAAAAAAAAACTACAATTAAGAAAAGGAAAGAAAGTATTTATGTTGGAGTCGGGTCAAAGTTTACCCAAGTTTAAAAAATAAATTTTGAGTTGATCTTAGCAGTACTGTACCTATTGAGATAACACGTTTTTAGCTAAACTCAGGATTATTACTCTCCAAGAAAAGTAAGATTATTTGTTAATGCAGTCATTCTATCAGAAGTCAAACTTATACATATCTTTATGAGGATACGATAAATCTGGTAGCTCAACGCCTAAAAAACATTGTGTGGGATAAAATCTTTAAAAGCATAAGTACATTTATATTTATTTCACATATACTATAAAAATAAAATAACATAAAAAAAATGAATTTTTGTATTTAAAAAAAAATAAAAAATAAAAAGATAAATAAATATAAAAATTTATGTGTGTAAAATATCATTTCTCAATTATGAATTAGTTCGTGATGAGTATAATAAATAGGTGATGATATTTTGACAAGAAAAATAAAATTGATTTAATAACTTCAAATAATAATGTTATAATGGAAATATAAGTTTATTATATTGTTGCCGAGAGGGTTTTCTTTTAATTTAGAAGGTTTCAAAATATGACTTCCCTAAAACAATATTTTCTAGTTCAGAAAAAAAGGTAGAACGTAGAAATTATAGTAAGAAGTGTTAGACTGATCGCAAACGGCGAAAAATGTATATCCAAACATACACTAAGTTGGGTAAACTCTTTTTTACTGGGATAGTTTATTTTTTAAAATTACTAAAAAAATTATGTTATAAGTGGGATTTACTCGACTCAACTTTTGTTTGAATAAAATTCAAATAATTTTAAACTGGGTAAAATTTTTGTGACAATTTAACTGTCATAGAATAAAAGTTTTTAAGGCAGAAACAAATTTCAGAATTCAATGTATAGATTATTACCTTTTTTGTATTTTAAAAAATAAGCAATGTTTGAGATTATTATTGCCAACTAACTGAAAATAATAAATACACTCGCAGTGTCGTCCACTCAGAAAACGTAGAAGATATGTTAAGTTGGTTCTCAATCATGTTATAGTAATGTTTTAATAGTTTACATTAAAAAAATTCACACTAATAACTTAGAAAAACTAAACTAAAGAAGATGTTCGATGCATACTTTCACACTAGTAATACACGCTCACTGTCACAGTGAGTACATAGAATGTCCTAAAAAACTATGATAAAATGAAAGAAATGGTGTCAATCAAACGTTTCTGTCGTATCAATGTCAAAATATGAAAACCATAGCTATAAATCAACTGAACTGTAAAAGTTAGCGGAGATCCAATATGATCCAAGTAGTCAATTAAGAACACAGTCTGGAAGCTATTCCAAACTGATTTTGAGAAAAAATCACAAGTTTTAGTTCAATGCAAAGTAAAACGAAGATATGATCATAACAAGGTCTGGGACATGTACCAATTACAGGAACTCCTGAATCCAAAAATGCCGTTTTATATCAAACAAATATTACCTTCACTAAGAGACATATTTCGTTCCATTCTCAGGGCATGAATAGCTCAAAGATGGCTCCTCAGCTTCTCTGTCAAAACACTCCTCCATCTAACAAGTTTTTTCTTTGCATAACGTGCCACTTTGAGTAACTGCAAGCTGTCAGACAAGTCTCAAAATGTTTCAACATAACTGGTCGGAAAGAAGAGGAGTTAACTTATTCAAAAGTTCCACCGGAGTGACGGGAATTTTCAAAAGTTGTTGCTTTATATACCGATGTCGAAACAAATCTTAAACAACCAATCATATATGCGAATGATATTCAAGGACAACGAGTGGTTGTTTGTGTGGCTGTCATTGAATATTGACGACAGGTTAAAATTCTTGTGTCGGAGTGAATTGAAGAAGCAAACGAAATTCCTTTCAAGTAATGGAACGACACAATGATTAGGCGTGCTCCCATAAACCTAATCATGATGCATGTTTGAACTCATAGTCAGAGACTCATCACTTGCACAGAAAGAGAGGAGTGTGAAAGAGCTTAGCATGCTTGCCACAAGGATTCTCATATCATACCAGTGTGGATGAGGAGGGAGCACCCAAACAGAACTTTATCAAGTGTTACTTTCTTACTGGTTCTTACCTCATTAGGGTTTATCTTTTCATTGCTTCACATGTTTTCCTGGGGACAATAGAGTGGAGAGAAATTATAGACTAGGGCTCGCCCTCAACTTAAAGCCAAAACAACCAAGTCATGCGCATTCATCGATGCCGTGTGTGCCTGAATAAGTAGGATTATTATAAAAACATTTATACTGTATTGGACCATGTTATTCAGCTCATATGAGGGTAACAAAACTTACATCGTTTTGTTTCNTCATATATGCGAATGATATTCAAGGACAACGAGTGGTTGTTTGTGTGGCTGTCATTGAATATTGACGACAGGTTAAAATTCTTGTGTCGGAGTGAATTAAAGAAGCAAACGAAATTCCTTTCAAGTAATGGAACGACACAATGATTAGGCGTGCTCCCATAAACCTAATCATGATGCATGTTTGAACTCATAGTCAGAGACTCATCACTTGCACAGAAAGAGAGGAGTGTGAAAGAGCTTAGCATGCTTGCCACAAGGATTCTCATATCATACCAGTGTGGATGAGGAGGGAGCACCCAAACAGAACTTTATCAAGTGTTACTTTCTTACTGGTTCTTACCTCATTAGGGTTTATCTTTTCATTGCTTCACATGTTTTCCTGGGGACAATAGAGTGGAGAGAAATTATAGACTAGGGCTCGCCCTCAACTTAAAGCCAAAACAACCAAGTCATGCGCATTCATCGATGCCGTGTGTGCCTGAATAAGTAGGATTATTATAAAAACATTTATACTGTATTGGACCATGTTATTCAGCTCATATGAGGGTAACAAAACTTACATCGTTTTGTTTTGTTCCACACAAAGTTTTAAAATGCCTCAGTCCCTTGCTAAGTAAATTAATACTTGCATTTCGATAAATTTTTCTTATAAAAATTATTTTAACAAAAGTAAACACATAATAATAATTATAAAAAAAGGAAAAAATAATGACACTATTCATTTATTTTATTTGCAAAATGAAAAATTACAAAATATAAAATATAAGTGTAAAGAGAATATCTAAACTTGTATGCAAAATAGAAATTACCATATCAATTTTATATGTCAAATTAGACGCCAAGTTACCTAGACTATAACATAAGTTAAAGACAACAACGTGACACCCAAGTTACCTAGATGGTAACCTAAAGCCTACAAACAAGACACCAAGTTACTTAGACAGTAACCTAAACGAGACATCTAGTTACTTAGATGGTAATTGAAATCGCTCAAACGCGACACCAGAGTTACCTAGATGGTAACATC